CTTTTAGCAAAGTGGCATTAGAAACATCAATTTAACATATATTTTATATTTATCTGATTTGCTTTTATAAAATTCCCCTATAACTTATAATTAGAAATAACTTCAAATAGCTTACTATCAGGTTTGTGGAGTACTTTATAGGAGTTGTAAGCTTCCAATTTCTGAGGGGAGCGAAATTAAAATATCTAATTATAGTAGTTCATCAGATTTCCTACATCAGAAAAATTAACATCTTTTTCTTTCCTTCTATTACATATCAACAAAGAGATTAATTTTAATTTATTAACTTTTATATAACAATTTAAATCGCAGGTGATTCATGACTTTTGAAGATTCGTAATTATTGAAGGAGTCACATATCCACCATTACCCATGCCAATGACATTCACCAATAAATAAGAGTAAGAACATATTATTTATATTAAAAATTGCAATTGATCAATTAAATAAAGTAAAATTTTCCGGAGAACTAAATCTTTCTCACATTTTAATGGGCAAATTAGCTAAGAATTTTTTTATTTTTTTTTATGTTCAATGACATGTTGTGGTATATTTGAAAATCTCTGGGATAAAAAATTTTGATCCATAGTTTTGAAGTTACAGATAAACAAATTTTCCAGTTGCAGATATTGTTGAAATCATGTTTTCTTATGAAGGTAAACTAATATTGTATACATTATGTTTTTTGTGCAAAATAAAAGCTCTTGTTAGTTATGAATTTCGTATTTCATGCAGGGTAAAATAATAGTAATATTTGAAAGTTCCACCATTTTTTTATCACACTATCAACTAGGAATACTTTAGGCAGTTTTATACTACTTGTAAAAATTTCAAGCACTTCTCTATAAGCTAGAGAGAGCATAAAATTTTTACACTTGGTTCTTTGCTTAAAAAAATTGATGCATGGTATTTGAATACATTTTCGTTGCTCTCTCTATTCCTGTTCATTAAAAATTTCAAGGAAGCAACTGGGATAATTTTTAACACGCCAGATGTTTTTAATTGAAAACTTACCTCTAAAGTCAGCTTCTTGGAAATGTTTCCACAGTGGGTAGTAAATGGAACAAAAATATATTTAAAAAATTATTATTATCATAAATTATAACTATACAAGGTACTTATTAAATGGTTAGATTTTCCTTGCATAATTTTAGAAAATAACATAAAAGTTAGTACAAAATGTGATTTAAGAAAAAAATTCTTGACAAACCTTTAAAAAAAATGCATTATTGTTTATTTGTAGATACAATTTTAAAAGCAGCAGCAGTCTGAGAAAGACTAGATTCATCCTTTTTTTTAGAATAAGTGAACAACTTCTCTATGGTTCTCAGAAAACAAATGTTTGACAAAAGTAGATAAAAAAATGCCTCAAAGATTTTATCGTTAAATTTTGCAACCACTGTCTTCTGCTTTCAAGTTCCGGAATCTTTTATCACTTTTGATCTTTTGTTCCATTTCCATGATTCTTCTCCCTGGAAATGGTTAAATCAAGCAAAGAAATGTCTTAATTCTACAACCATATCCTTCCAACAGTTAATATATGTAACACAAATAAAAACAAGAAAAATTTACCGGTTATTGTTATGGGTTTCATAGATCATAGCTACTAACATACTCAAATTACTTAACACAGTCACTTATAAAAATAATTACTGCTAATAAACTATTCCTAAATGGAAACACTTCTGTCCCGATCTTGTCAACATTATGACCAACAACTCTTGATTTTTTACAGAGCTCTCAAAGGCTGATAAGTATTGCTATCTAATTTCTTTTTTAGACTCATCAAAGTAATCTCAATTGAAGGTACAGAATTGTGCTATATGAATCAGTGGCAAGCGATGGGTGAAAGAAAAGAATAATTTAAGTCCATTTTCACACCAATCCTCTTCAACAGCTCAAATTAGACTGATACAATTCCAACTTAAAGAACATGAGACTGATAAGTATTCTGTTACTTAAGACCTTTTTAAATTTTTTTTTTTAAAAATAGCAGGAAGTGCAATGAATAAAACTTTTAACAGCCTTCCATCTGAGCGATATTGCCTTGTCCACTAAACTCTCTTTCGTGTGGAGGTGGTGGGTTTGAAACCTGGATGTATCTTCACGCTGTCTTTCTTAGAATTGCGCAATCAGTTCTTCTACTTGACAAAAGCTTACAAGCCATACTTACGTAACAGAGCACATAAGCCTGCATACGTATGAGTACAAATAAGTAAATAAACATTCATATATCATGTTTAAGTAAATAAGAGCTTTAAAACCTCCTTTTAATATTACTTATTAAAAAGTTTTTTTTATTGCTTTTTAGCATGTCTTTTAAAAAATGCAAAATTTGTTAATTGAAATAAATAAAGACAGTTAAAAGAATACTTGATTTGAAAAATAATTCAGATTAAGCTAATAATTTTAATTGTTATCAATTTGTTCATTATTTTTTTAAATAGTTACTTTGTCTGTTAATGTATAAAAATTACAGAGGTTACAGTTGTATAATAAATTATATATTTCATTACAGGTTACAAAAATTATTATTAGTTACATTCCTACAGCTATTATAAATAATATTTGAACAAAATGGTTTTCAACAATAATTTAACAAAAAAATATTGATTAGAGAAGTAATATCTATGCTACTATTTAAGAAATAAAGTAATTCATAAAATAGTTTTTTTTTTTCTTTTCAAATGGGTATGACAAAATAAAAATTTATAAATTAATTCCAACAGCATTATTCTGGTTTTTGTCTATATTTCCTTTTATAATTGATCGAAATAATTATTTTAAATGCAAATAGAATAATTTTTTAAATAAAAATTTAGAGGTTTTACGATTGAAAGTAAATTTGAATAAAAGAAGATGATAGATATTATGCTAACAATTAAATATTTGTTATTTTCCCCGTACTCAGTTTTTAGAAAAATAACAAAGAAGAATCTTTCCATGAAAGATGAATATAAAGAAATTCTCAATTCCAGTGAACTATTAGTTGGGTGTCCTGAATAAAAAGCTGCTTTCTTCCAGACTGAGGTTAACTAGGAGTAAATGGATGTTAAAAATTCTAAATATGTATTAAATCAACTTAATTATCACAAATGCAGATGTTGGACAAGACTCTGCAGTATCTAATGAAACATGTAAAATACAAGATCATATAGCCAGCATTATTCTAGAATGTTAATTATCTTTTGTCTAAATTATTTTGACTTATACATTTCTACTAAATATTCTGTATCCATTTATCTGTCAAGATTTTTGATAATTTTCTGTTTGCGCACAATTTAAGTTTAGAGAATTTTTCAGCATCAACTCAATTGATTTTTTTCCAGTTTAAGTAATCGTTAAAATGAATATTTAAAAATATAAACACAGACAAATCTAGCTATTAAAATACCCCTGCAAAAGTACTAATCACAAAATTTTATTACTTTACAATTTTGAGAAAAAAAATCATAAAAATTTTTAAACTCTTCTTCTTTTAATCTAATTAAATGTCATTATTTTACACCTTTTATAGGTAGTGAAAACAATATTCTATCATTAAAAGTTTATGATCAAAGAAACATTGAGAAAACAGAAAAGTCTAATGTTTATCCCACGGTAGCAAAGAAAGAGGCCATTTAAGAATAAAAATCATAAAATGAAATTGATTTATGGTCTTTCCTTAAGAATGTTTTTTTTTTATATTGTTCCAATTTTCAAAGGATTTCATCTGTATTTTTCCAGACACAAAGAAATTTATTTTAAAATCCCTTAAATCAGTAGTTAAAACATTTATTTGTCATAAATCAGCCTTCTCTGCCCTTATTAAGTCAATTATGACTAAACATGTTTAATCTCACAGAAAATTGCCTGGTCGACATTATTATTTTATATATTAATAAAATTTCATACTTAAAAAGAGATTTTTCTGCAGAGGGGCTAGGTCTCTATTAATCATATCAGTGTTTAATAAAGACTTTCATTAAGTAGAGCATTGTTAAACAGACACTTAGCTGTATAGATATATACATAAAATATCAAGTTCTGTTTCAACTCTTAATACAAATAATGTACCTACTAAACTCAAAATCTTGTTGAATAGAACCCGAAGTTGTAACAATATACTCAATATTTTTTTCAGTGTTGCCCCTAGGAATAAAAAAGAGCAGGGTGCTTCTGCACAGAAAAGGGCATTCCCTCAGCACCGTAAAAATTCATCAAATGTGTAATATTATGCAATAACTGCATTGATCCTTAATAATTTTTTATGTGTATTTCAAAAAGTAATATTCACTCATTATCAAAATAGGAGAAAAATTTGTAGTTTATAAAAAAAATTTAAGACATCCAAAAAGACAATCACTGCACAAAATTCTTTAAAAAAGTAACCTATAAATTATGAAACATTGAACACTTAAAGGTGCATTTATTTTTTAAAAAAGGTATTCATTTAAAAAATATTAAAATTAGAAATCACTTAAAAATTCATTAATACACCCCACCTCCCGAAAATGAGAAATTTAAGCAGTTGATATACCAAAACAAATATTTGTAATTATAAACAGAATTAAACCTATAAAGACAGATAATTTTATCAATGTGTAATCATTATTTTAAGAGTGACTTAATTTCTTAAAAAATGGAATATGAATAAATAGGTACAGTTTTTAAGGGATGGCGGCTTATTTTTACAAAAAAGGCAAAGAGGGAGCTTCAAAGGGCTGGCCCTAAAAACACTTAGGGCAAATATTGTTTTTTTAAAAAAAGGCTTACTAACATTTTTTTATTTGTATAAAATTGTAAGAAAAAAAAAATTATCCGAAGTCTCTAATGAAAATATTTTCCCATTTTATGAACTATCTTGTCGCTTTGAAGTGCAAAATTTCTTATTGTAATTCTGTCCATTCCTCGAAAAAGAGAAGATAAAAAAAAAAAGAAAAGAAAATGGTACAAAATTATAAGAGTTAAAACATTATAAGGTTAAATATTTTTTAAGGTAATAAAAACGAAAGTAATAATTTAAGATTTTTAAGTTTTTATTCAACATGCACAATAACAGGCATTAAACAAATACAATAATTTTAAAGTCATTATAATTTAGATTAAAAAAACAACACCAATTCACAAATTTTACAATTCAATAATTCGTTTAATGTATGATTTTCAATATAAATAATTGACTAACATGAAAAAATACTGATTATATAATTTAGTAAATGAAATATTTGCAGTATTTAATAATTGAAAGCACAACTGGAAATTTTTTCTAAAACTCAAATCAATATTTACATAGTATAACTGGTATCTACATTATTAATTATCTACAACATTTTCAGAAAAGTAATTTTTAAGATGAACAAGCTCATGTTTCTCTAATTTATCTTCTCTAAGAAATTTTTTAGGACAATTCAAACAATAATGATATTTCTTCTCTTTCATATGAGTAGCATAATGCCTCCTAAGATTACTCTTTTGAGTAAAACCCCTAGAACAAATGTCACACACATGCTTTTCCCCAGTATGTATCAACCGATGAATTTGGAAAGTGTAATTATCAGCATAGCTTTTACCACAAATATCACAAACACATTTTTTTGTCGCGAAATGCAATCCATAATGCCTTTTTAAGTTGGACTTTTGTGTAAAACCTTGGAAGCAAACATCACAAATATATTTTTCCCCAGTATGGATAGCTAAATGAGTTTCTAACGTACATTTATCAGTAAATCGCTTTCCACAAACATTACAGCCATGAGGCCTATATGCTGAATGATTTGTATAATGCCGTTTCAAATTAGATTTTTGGGTGAATTCTCGAAAACATATATCACAAACATGCTTCTCTCCTTGATGAATCTGCTTGTGCATTTGGAATGTATATTTGTCAGCAAAGCCTTTATTGCATACTTCACAGACAAAAGGTTTTTCTGCACTATGAATTAACCTATGTCGTTGTAGATTGCTCTTATTAGCAAATCCTTTTAAGCATACTTCACAAATAAAAGGTTTTACTCCAGAATGGAGTAAATAATGCTCTTGAAATTTTTCTTCCGTTGCAAAACCTTTTTCACACACTTCGCATATTAATGTTTTTTCACGCACATTTTTGTTTTCTTTGGAACAAGTGGGAATATGGTCAGTATTACCTTTAGTGCCATTAAATGCTTGTATGGCTGCTGAATGCATAAGATAATGCTCTTGGAACTTATCTTCATTTGCAAAACATTTCTCACACATATCACATACAAAGGGTTTTTTACGGATAGCTCTCATCTGCCTTGAACAACTAGGCATATCATCTATATTTTCTTCCTTGACTATAATATCTCCCGGACCAACGACTTCTACAGCTACCTCTAAGCACATTTCTTGGGGTATAGACATGTTTACTTATTATTTTGCACACTTACAATTAATAATTTCTTAATTTTTTTATAAATCATGCACGCATACCATGCAAACGTTAAACCTGAAACGTTTCTCTGGATATAGTTTGTGTTTCGTAAACTCATAAAAAAATAGTGATTAACGGCAATTCAATTAGACAGTAAATTAAACTTGAAAAAAAGAGGGAATAAAAACAAACTTTTAACTTCAGTTCAATTTCAACAATACACACCTGATTTCAATTCAGTTCTTTCCACAAAAAACGCCATTAAATGCTTGAAGAGCAGTTTAGTTGTACTAGCCTCAACCTGTTTTGCAAATATTTTGCAAAATCAGTTAGATTGAAATACTTTCGTAAGCTCTAGAAGATAGTTTATATCTAAATAAAATTAAACTTGATTAACAATATCATGAATAAAAAATTCTGAGAATTGGTTTGCGCGGTTTTTTAATTGGTTCGCAAAATCATGAAAAACTTAAACAATACTTAACTGTACTCGATATCGATTTAAAAACAGGAAATTATCATTATTTGTTTTTGTTCCGCTTTCTCTTTTTATATCGTCTGTCGCCGCAACGTGTTGATAAACACGTTGACAGATTGTTTTTATTGATTATTATTAAAATTGATTTAGCATGAAATAATTATAAAATTTCCAACTATAGATCTATGATCTTTTAGCCTTTGATTTAAATAAAATACCATGGGGAGACTCATTACTTATGATAATGTTGTTCTAGAAAGTTTGAACACTTTGATTAAAAATAAAGTTGTTCAGACTGGATTGATAATTGGGCAGGTAAGTTAAATATTCATGGTTTTAAATGCATGCTAACCCCAAGTTTCTTCTTTACATGCCGTTTTTTGGTTACGGTAGCATCATTACTAAAATTTTTATGTATGATACTAATTGTAGTGATGTTAAACGCTTCAATGTGATTAATTCCTGGCAATGATCAATTATTTTTGGGGGAAGATTTCCGTGTCAGTATCTTTGCCTAAATGCTGGCCAAGTTTTGGTGACTTCTGGGCTCTGGACTGAAAGAAACTAAAAATAATAATAATATTACGGAAGTGGGCTAACTCGTAAACACTCCCAGGCAAACTACTACTTATTTTTTGAATTTTTGAAAGTTAAAAGATTCTTTGTCGTAGGTCGTAGACGCGAACTGATGCCGATGCAGAAATGATTTCCGTATCCTGATCTGTGGCAGAATAATCGTCAATTCTTGGAAACTTCCGGGCAATGGTCCCGCAAAAAACTAAAAAAAAGAAAAGAAAAACATCACAGAAAGAGACCAACTCGAAAGGTATAACTCGTAGCCACCCCCGGGCAAACATCTACATGTTTTTTTTTTTATTTTTAAAAATTGCAAGTTTAAAATCTATTTGGCACCTTGGCAATTGTAGTTGACGTGACAGATCATGGTACAGAAATATCCCTGTCCCCATTGATAATAGTAATTGTTTTAATATTTATTCATTGAAATTTTGACTCAATTGTATATTAAGGGTTTTTTACAGTCTTACTGTGAAAAAAAAAATGATTCTTTTGAATAAGTCAATGTGCTGGAAGTTTTGCATTCTTTTGCTCAGATGAATTTTAAAATAATTAAAATGTGTCTTATTAATTATTCCGTGATTGTATATATTATTAATATTTAAATTTAAATGTTCTCAAGTATTTCTTCCATGTACATTATTCTTTACTTATAACTATATAACCATTTTAGAGTACACCTCAAAAAGATATTGTTCTGCGGTTATGTCCAACTCCTATGAAAGATGAAATTGAGGGGGAAGAAGATAGCTTGCAAAAATCAAAACAGAAAACTGCTGCAAATGATATTGATGAGAGTTGGATTTGCCAGCATGCTAAACAGGTATGTTTATATTAGGGGTGCACAACCTTTTTGAGTGAAGGGCCACTTGCACAGCAGGTTGGCTAACGAAGGGCCGCACATGTATTTAGACATGTTAATGACAAATGTAGTAATGTTTATTTAAACATTCGCGCTCTATTTTTTTATCAATAAACTTAGTAATATATTTGTAAAAAATTAAAGGTGTTCCATTATTAGAAATCATTCAAAAGTAAAAAAACCTTAACTTTTTTTTTAACCAAAAAAAAAATTGCTATTTTTATCATATGAACAATAGATTTATCAAAATAAATAAACATTGAAGAAAAGAAATGGTTTTTTTATCATATCATGCAATACGAAAATTCATTTTAGAATTAAATTCTAATAAATAAAAAAAAACTGCAATGCCCACAAAATGAAAGTAGGAAATATTTAGTCATAATTAAGTAATATAAATTCAAATTAAATATTTTAATTGAAGAAAATTTATAGGTTTAAAATAAAAACAAAACTGTGATAGCTCAAGATAAAATTCAATGCTTATTTTGTAATGTACTTTATTATTTCATTTTATTAATTATTAAATTTTTAAATCGTAAACATTTTCCTTTTTTTCAATCGAAAAAGATCACTTAAGCAACAAAAAATTGAAATCTTAACTGCAAACGGTGAGCAGTTTAAAAATTCACGTTTTCCTCCATTTTATGAATTTCTCAAGTTGCAATAACATTGCATTTAAATTAGGGGTGTAACGAGTATTTGGCCCTTCTGTGAAAAATTCAGTTGGTTGAATGATCTGTCAAATATTCGGCAGAATATTTTTTAGAAATGTATTTTTCTAAGTTTTTTTTATTTTTGAATTTTTATAGATATTACTTTTTTTTAAATTTATAATCAGACAAGTCAATTTTGTCCTTTTTTCGATACTTTGAGAATTGAGAAGGATTTTTTTCCATATTTCGCTGTTTTTATTATAACCCAGCATTTTAACAGAACGTCTCATACTATTAATTTATTATCACTATTTCCCTGTACTGTAATATAAATAACCAGTAACATAGAAAAGTATGATTTTCAGTATTAAAGTTTTGTTTCAGGAACTAAGAAAAATTTGTTTTTTCTGTTTTTCTTTTTTTAGGTATTTTTAATATGACGTAGCATTTTCTTTGAAAATAAAGTTACTAATAAAATTTATTTTATAGCAATTTTGTTTCTTCTAAAATTATGGCAATGAGAAACATTTAAATTGAGATTTTCGGCATAAAATTTTCTTTTAAAAAATTAAGAACTTTTTTTTTTCTATCTTTTTGTTTTCTTTAAATAAAAAAAAACTTTTTTTAGACGTTTTCCTTATAACGCAGTAATTTTTAATAGCATTTCTGTTAACTTAATTCTTTTTTCTTGGCTTTTTCTGGTAATTGAAAAACTGAGATGTTCAGCTTTAAAATTTTTTTCCAAAAATTAAGATCGATTTTTATGTTCTCTGTTTCGCTTTTCAACATTTTCAAAAACATTCTTGATTGACCTTATTTTTTGGAGTTAATTTATGAATACATTTTTCCAGGAAATATTATTCTGAGAATTGAAATTTTAGTTTCAGTGTTGCTATGCTGCTAAAAGATTTTGCTATTTGGCCCCAAGTGTACTGCGTTCAGTCGATTTTTTGTTTGTTTGTTTGTTTTTTTTGCCGAATATTTGGTTTTTGACCAAATTGCAATTCATTACCACATTCGACCAAATCATATTAGTTGCGGGAAAAAAAGAAGGAAAAATAACTAGGATTTACGATAAAACTGTACCGAAATACCGTGTCAAAAAGTGATAATTTAATTGTGCGATTAACAATCACATGTCGTAATAACATCATAGTTAAATAACGGGATCATCAAAGTCATGTGGAAAAGTATAGAAATAATAGGTGGGAAATTACTTATATTTATGCTGAATTGAGCACGAATAAAGCTTGTCAAATGCACGATTTAAAATTTGCATGTCGTAATAGAATAATTGAAATTTTTTATTATACGTGGGAACGCATAGCAATAACTGCCGAAAAAAATTGTTGAAAAAAAGAATTTAAAGAAAAAAGATCAAAAATCACTTAGATTTAAGATGAAATCATCACAAATAAAGTGCACCAAAAAGTTATTATTTAAATGGGCGATCTGAAACTCGCATCGTAATAAAAATTCGAGATTTTCGAAATCACGTAGAAAAGTGGAAATAACTGTTAGAAAAAGAAATAAAGAAAGCGCTTTAAACGTACATTTACTAAAGAATCTGTTAAAATTGATTGTGTCAAAACGTGATGACTTAAAAGTGCGATTAAAATTTTAAAAATTTTAATCCCATTTTTAAATTTTTTTTATTGTGTTTAGAAGCTCTCGCGGGCCGCACTTCAGTAGTCGAAGGGCCGCATTTGGCCCGCGGGCCGCAGGTTGTGCACCCCTAGTTTATATAGTCAGAAATGTTGTCACACTATAGTAACTATCATAAATTTCATAATTTCCTGAAAGAATTATTTAAAATGACTAAAAAATGTCAGGCATACAACTGGAATTGTTTGACTTTTCTAAATATGTTCCTAGGTTTGCTCATTTACTCTATTATTGGTCTATATCTATTAGTAAAATGTGATAAAATGACTTAGCATTTTTTTTTGTATTAATGTGTAATTTTTTTGTTTTATCTAATTTATTCATTTTTTTTTAATTACAATTTAAATGAAGAATAAGTATACTCTTATTCAGAGTAATTTTGCCTGAATTAACTTATTTGATGTTTCATTTGTAAATTTTTTTTTATAAATCAAGCATCATCAAGCTATTTTTTTAAATAACATTAATAAATTTAGATAGTTATCTTGTATTAATCCAATAAAGAAAATTGTTTCTAATTTTCTCTGCTGCTTCCTTGTCAAAAAACATAGGATAAACTATTTTTTTTTTCCAGTAAAGTTTGAAAAAGCTAGGACTAATGCTTGGATTAAAAGATAATTTCTGATACCGAAAAAAAGATTTATAATCCCAAGGATGTGATTCTTCCGCGGATTCGTGGATTTCCGCTTTTTGTCAGATTTTCCTATTTTTCCCACTAATTTCCGCGGAAATTGTTTTTTAAACAAGTTAAAATATTTTATGAGGAATTTTTTTTTTTTGAAAATTCAGTCTTTGAAATAAAATAATTATATTTATTTACGATTTTCAAAGATAAACAGAAAATTCAAACTGTGTCCTAGCTGCTAATCCTTCCGTATTTTTACTTATTTTAGCTATTTTCTCCTCTTTTACACACAGAAAATAAGATTTTCCGTATTTTTATTCGTCCGCCGGATAGCTCGTATTTTCGCAATTCAGACGTCGTGACCCTGTTGTCTGGCGTAAAAGCAAACGAAAAAGAAAAAAAAATATATATAGACGTGGATTTGCGGTGAAAATATTTATTTGCTCATTCAATTAATCTTGAAAATTTCTATTTATTAGGTCTAAACAAAAACAATACTAACAAGCCTTTTAGAAATCCCAAGTCCAGACTCTGCAAATATCTCGATTGTTATTCACGCGATTTTAATATCAATCATCGATTTTCGTATTTACCTGATTTAAAAGTTGCGCATTGCGATCCTTATTTACGCTATTTAAACATCGTGCATTATGATTCTTATTTACGAGATTTGAAAATCCAATATCGCGTTTTGTATTTATGCATTTTTAAAATCGCGATTTTATTATCAAACATCGATTTTCGTATTTACCTGATTTGAAAGTTGAACGTTGCTATTCTTATTCAGCCGATTTAAATATCGTAAATTGCGATTCTTATTTACGAGATTTAAAAATCCAATATAGCGATTTGTATTTATACGCTTTTAAAACTCTATGTAGCGATTCGTATTCACGTGAGCTTAAAATCCAATGTCGTGATTCGCTATTGCGGTTGTAATATCAAACGTCGATTTTCGTAATTATACGTGCTTTAAAAATTAGACATTGTGATTTGTATTCACGCGATTCTAAAATTATGCATTGTGATTCGTATTTACGTGATCTAAAAATTACGCATCATGATTTGTATTTTCGCATTTTTTAAAAATCGATATAGAATTTCATATTCATACAATTTTAAAATTAATCGTCGAGATTTATAATCACATGGCTAAAATCGCACTTTTTTCGTCAAATNTAGTTATCTTGTGTTAATCCAATAAAGAAAATTGTTTCTAATTTTCTCTGCTGCTTCCTTGTCAAAAAACATAGGATAAACTATTTTTCTTCTTCCAGTAATGTTTGTAAAAGCTAGGACTAATGCTTGGATTAAAAGATAATTTCTGATACTGAAAAAAAAGATTTATAATCCCTATATGATTTAATTTTATACAGAAATTATGCTGTAATTAACTGTTTAGAATTAGGACTTATTTTAAACTATTTAATTTATTGCAGTTTTAACAGCAATTAAACACTGTTTAATATTTTGAGACTTTTAAATTTTTTTTTAAAGGGGCCACTTTATAGAGTTCCGTTTTGTGTATTTTTTTTTCATAATAGTTATGTTTACATCATGTGTGTAATAAATAGTTCACTATTCAAAAAAAAATATTTTTTTCTCTTTAAAACCATAAAGCTTATTTTTAAGTTAAATGGAAACTAATATTTTGGTGCAAATTTTATTGCTGTTGCTTACAACTAGATTTTCTGGTGTTACATCTGATTTGCTTTGTTCTCAAAACTTAGACATAATAAATAAATTTGCTGAAATTAAATCTGACGAAATTGAATGAAATGAAATTGGGTCATTATTCGACAATATTTTTATATTGCCTACATTATAAACATTGTAAAATGCATCCTGTATTCTATGAGTATTATTATAAAATATTATTACTTTCTCTGTGCATAATGTTTATTAAATTGTTAAATTATTCCTTTATTTTAATATTGAAACTTTACTTTAAATTGTCTTTTAAACTAATGACATATTTTATGCTGATATATTTACAGCTTGTTCGAGCTCTCCCAGGAGGATTAGATATATTAGGATTATATATTGTTGCCCCATCTGATTTTACAGTAAAAAATCAAGCACTTCTTCGTCAGGTAAACAATTTTATTTATCCAATTTTATCAAAGAATTAAAAAAATATTTATGTATGCCTTATTAGAATTACTAGTGTCAAAACTAAGAATGACTAATATGAATTGAATTTTACAGGTTCTTTTTGCTATATACAAAATTAAAAGCTTGAAAGGGAAAATCTTAAGAGAAAGAATTTTGTTAAATATTTGCTCTATAACTTCAAAGTATCCTTTTTTTATTACAGTTAAGTTTGATTAAGTACTTTAATTTCATAAAATCTTTATGTACATTGTCATCACAATATAAGTATTACGGATGAACATGCTTCCAATGCATTCATCTAATAAGACTTAATTTCCAGGATTGACATTACAATTCGTTAGCAGTGTAAAATTTGGCAGCTATTATCAGAAAAATGTCGAACATTCAACTCATTTCTTACTGAAAGTATAAGCAGCAAAGTTTTCATACCCTCCAGTTCTGATTTGAAATTTATCTTTAAAAATATTTTTCTGATTAACAATTGACACTACTTTCCTTATAAGCAAGATAGAGCAATAAAGATTGTCATAAAATATGGTAGTTAACAGCAAAGAATGAAACTATTAGAATTACTAACAACATTACTAATAGAAAGTTTTTTGATTGGTTATATCACTAAACTTTTTTAGGAATAATTAATACAGAATAATACTAAATACAGAAAGTTTGTTTTAAAATATATCTGATATTTTTATGATACCATGTTTATGAATACACTCTTATTTCAATCTGTTAAAACAAATATATTTTTTAAAAATTAATACTTGATTGTTCATTGTTTGATTGTCCATATCATGATTTAATTAGAATGTTACATTTGTCTTTAATAAGTTTATTTTGTATTTAACTTTAGTGTAGTATATTCAGCTTTAATGTATAAGTATGTGGCAGAAGAATTTTTTGTTATATATATTTTTTTGTATTGTTTTTATTTTGTATATATGTATATTTTCACTTCAATGCTTCTTCCAAATTTTTAAGCAGTTTTTCCTTGATTCATTCAAGAATTTTGTGCCGAACATTCGATGTCTCAGATTATAAGGTATTTTATTTTTTAATCTTTTTAAAATTATCAATTTGTTTAAAAATTATTTTAATTTGTTGCCAAAAAGGTGATGGAAAAAAGGATTATATTGAAAGAAGGATTGAACCTTATCTTCCATTACCAAAAAAAAAAAAAACTTCGCTGCAGATAATTTTGAGGCACTCTTTAATAAAAAATTTGGCATAATAATAGTTTTGGAATTTATTTTTTACATTATAAATCAAAAAGTGAACTATAAACATTTTTTAAAATTTTGTTTTTCAACTCAGTATCTGCAAGGAATATTGCATATGCATTTTTGTTTCTGTCATGCAAATAATGTTGTCTTGTCTATGGCAGCTCTAAATATTTCTAAAAGTTTAAAGAATGAGTTTTGTGAGTTCTGGTGCCTAAAGACTGTATAGGATGTCCTCTGGTGGTGAGCTGAGTTCAAAAAGTTTAGCCAGAATGGCTTGTCATTTGAAAATGCGTTTTGGCGTTAATTGGGTTTGAGAGCAATGTCTGCATATGGAATATAATCTGGTCTTGTCTGAAGAATTCTTCAATGAATGAATTCTTCTTGAAATGGCCCATACAGAGTCTTACTATTGCTGATGAGAGGTTTCTATTACAATTAAGATCCAGAATGGAGAACATAAAATGATGCATATGCATAAAATGATTTATTATTTGCATAAAAAAACAACAGTAAAGGTAGTAATTCATTGCAGATTCTCGTTTGACAAATAAAATTATAAATCTTAGAAATATTTGTTTTTAAATTAAAAAAATTTGTTTCCAGGTTATTATTTTCTTCCTCTAAAATTACTGAAAAATGGAAAAGAAGTTAAAGCTAGAGTTATTCAATATATTAATGCCTTATGATTCTTATTTTACATAATGATGTATTTTTTTACAAATGAAAATATTAATTGAAAATATTTAATAAATAATTGATGCTAAGTAATTAATTTTCTATGAAATAATATTAAAGATAAAATATGAATACATAAAAAACTATCACATTACTTATGTATTAAAAATGTATTATGTACTTATTGTAATGTATCTGCTTATATGTGGTGATTAAAAGTACATACATCTCTAAAATATTCTACTGTTTCTCACTGTTGAAGCAGTATCATGCCTAATGTTTAATTTTGAAGTATTATTCTACTTGTACTTATCTTTACATTTCATATTATGATCGGTGATGCAGGATATATTGTTTACACATCAAAAACTGTAGACAGATGCAAAAATGAAGTTATGATGTGTCCTCTACTCATGCATACATTACATATTCCTATTCACTCCGAATTGGAGCTAGGGCTTCTATCATAGCTTTTCACTGCACTCTATTTGTGGCCAGAAATTTTGCCTCTCCTCATGTCTTTAATGGTGTTATTGTTTTCAATTCGTTTTTTTCAGTTCATTCTGTGCCAAGTGTTTTTAGGTTTTTCTCTTTTTTCTATTGCCCTGCGGCTTCCAATCAGAAACTTGTTTTGTTTTAAATTTTCAGGTTTATGTAGAACATGACTAATCCATTTCCATATATGTTTTTTTCCCCTGGGAGGCATAATTTTCCACAGCAGAAACAAATGAAATGAGTAGTGCCACAGAATTATTTGTGCAAAATTAACCAAACTAGTACAAAAAATGTTCTCCCCTCCCTAACACCAGATGGATAAAATAATTCAGTATTTATATAATTGCTTTTCCTTGGTGCAGTTGCATAGGTGCCACTCTTCAATCCTGAGAACTGAAATAAGTCTTGAGAAAAAGATCAGTATCCCAAATTCCTTCCCTCAATTAGTATTTCTTTCCAAATTAATTTTTTAAAATTTATTTTTTAAAAAAGTTAAAATTTTCACTTTTTTCTTTGAAAAATATCGCAAGTATTTTGTATTAAAACTAAATTACTTTTTAATTAAAACACTTATTTTTATTCATTATTGTGAAATTATCAAACAATGGTGTTACACTGCAATAAATAAAAGAATGGAATTGACTGTACTGGAGCATCTTTGCTTATGGAAGCAAAATTTGTATCGCTGAATCTGTTTTAGATTACATTTTTTCTTGATATTTTGAAATGCTGGGCGAAGTTACGTAAAAATTATTTTTAAAAAAAATGAAATTTATAGTTAGGTCAAATCATTAATGATGATGAATTGAAAAATAAAGTTATGAATGACTCCTTGGAAAAGTTAGTGTTGTATTTATTATGCAACGATTGGTGTAAAAAATATATGAGGGTTATTTTTGTTTTGTTTGCTGTAAAATATAAACTAAGACAATAAAAATTCATAATTGTTTTGTAGAAAAAATAATCAAGTCATTGATATAATATGTGGGCTATTCTCATGAAAAGGTACAATTTTCAGTCAGTAAACTATAAGTTTCTGTTAATTATAGTAAGCAGTGTTAATTGGGCAAGAATAAGCTGTCATGAAATTTTTTTAGAGTAGTTTCCAGTGTGTCTGATGATTTTATGTAATCAACAGCCTTGATGCTTGAGCCTAGAAAACTATGTATGTATATAGTTTTTTTGTTTTGTTTTATCTATAAATAGATGGAATGCCCATAAAAGTGTATTGATTAGAGGTAGAGATTTTATTTTCTGCTCAATATCTCAAATCACTTGTATGCTTTAAAAAAAAAAATATTTTTGTATACTTCCTCACCCCTTTTTCTATGTTTTAATTTTTAAAACATGGTTCGAATCGAATTTTTATTTTATTTCACTTAAAAATTTGGAATTTATGAAGATTTAGAAGGTTTTGGTAGGAAAAAAAACATCTTTAAACAATTTAAACATCAAATATTTACTCTTTATATGTATTCTTAAAATGGGGATTTATGCTGTTTTTTATTGGGAACTGCTTTTGATAACAGAGGACCTAGAAATTTAAGTCTTGGGTCCCGAGGAACCATAGTTTTCAAAATCTAGTGGAATCACTAATGATTAATCAAAAATAAAATATGTAATTTTTACAAATAATTTTTATAACTTAAATCTATGCAATATTATACTGAACTGTACAGTTAAATTTAGTTGTGAGGATACTAATAATGTTAAAAAGGGGGAGTATTTATTTCTCTACTTTATTTTCTAATTTCGTAAATTATAATTATAAAGCTTATGAACTTCATTATTTCTTCGCAAGCTCTACAGCCTGCTGCAGGCCAGGGCTCTGCAAGTTTTCTCCTTCTAATTCTATCTGGGGCTATGGCTCTTCATTTTTTATAATTCACTCTAATAATATCTTTTAGTTATGTGTATAGAAATAAATGATACTTAAGAGTCCTATATGTAACCAATCAGCCTCTTATATGTGGCCAACTCTTAGTATAAGTATCTTATATCAACTCTGGTATTTATATATATATGTATAACTCTTTTATGTAGCTAACATGAGATCCACATATTCTCTTTCCGTGTTAGAAAATTCCCTAGGTTCCCCTTCCATACTTGGAAATTCTCTTTCTATCTTAAAATGACTCAATGAACACCAAATATTCAAACAAGGGGGTCATTTGTAAGTTATTGTACTGTAAATCCATAAATGTTTTTTAATGTGTTGTTTGTAACTGAATGTCAAAAGTTATACTATATTATCTGAAGTTGTGGGAAATAACCTTAACATGACCTTGAGGCATAAAATAGGCTTCATGTTTATACAGATTAGATAATGCAGTTAATACTGTATTATAATTCTTATGGAATTAATGAGCAAGCACTTATAACATTGTTTAAAATTTACTGATTTATTTTTACTAATGTATTTTTATTGGTTAAAAAAATTAAAAAAAATATGGAAAAAGACATAAATATTTAAAAAAAAAAAGATAGATATTTAAGAAAAAAATACCAGCAAACTAAGTAATGAAAAGATATAATCTCGTCATCAGCTCACACAATGACAAGATTATAATTTTTCCTTTTTTTTCCTTTTTCTTTTGAATTTTTGAAATATTTTTTTTAAAATTCTTTTTCCTTTAAAAAAATTTTTGCATCTTATTTTATGAGTTCTATATAATTACAGCCTTAACACAGTAAATACCACTTGTATTTCTTAGTTTTCCTCCTTAATCTCTTTTTTTTTTTATCCCTACCTTAAAAATTATTAATAATGAAGTCAAAATTTTCGTGGTGAAATAATGTTCTGAAACTTACATATCATTTTTTATATAGAACAGGTAATTTTACAAATTTATATAATCATTAAAAGTAAATAATTTAATATTAGTTTATTTGTTTGAAACATTTGTAGTAAAATGTAGTAAATATTCCAATAAATTATGTTATTCTAATTATTATAAATTAAAATATCAAAAGAAACATAGAATTCATTTCTAATGTGCAGTATGTCAATGAATTATAAATTAATATCTTTTTGCACATTTCATGTACTTGTATAGTTTTGCCAATTTTAGCTAACATGATTATCAGAGTGATATTATTTCTATTGTGAATGTATATATAATATATTTAGTTTTAATTCAGTTCCCCATATATTATTTTAGTCATCAGCAACTCCCGCTGAATGGAAAAGTCAGAATGGTCCTCAAAAATGGCATCGTCTTCGCTGTCATCTTGCAGTTGATGTGAAATTCCCCCATAAGAAAGCTGAAATTAATAATTTGAGCCTGCTGACGCAAATGGAGTTGTCTTTGAAGAACTTTTTTGAAAACATACAAAATGCAGTNAAACAAGGGGGTCATTTGTTAGTTATTTTACTGTAAATCCATAAATGTTTTTTAATGTGTTGTTTGTAACTAAATGTCAAAGTGATTAAATTTTAAGTTACACAATATCATCTGAAGTGTTGGGAAACAACCTTAACATGACCTTCAGGCAAAAAATAAGCTTCACGTTTATGCAGATTAGATAATGTAGTTAATACTGTATTATAAAATTTTTTAAATGAGCAAGCACTTATTCCGTTGTTTGAAATTTCCTGATTTATTTTTACTAATATATTTTTATTAGTTAAAAAAATATGGAAATCTTGGAAATAAAGATTTTTTTTATTTTTTGAAAAAGATGATAATAACTTACAAAACAATTTTTAAAAAATTAAAAAAATAAAATAAAAACCCAGGAAAACTAAATAGCGAAAAGATAAAATCTCATAGTTTTTCCCTTTTTCTTCTTTTTTTTTAAATTTTTGAAATATTTAAAAAAAATTTTTTTTCCTTTAAAATTTTTTTTTGCATCTCTTTCCATTTTTCTGTATTTTTAAACTTATTTTATGAGTTCTATATATTTACAGCTTAATCACAGTAAATAGCACTTATATTTATTAGTTTTCCTCATTAATCTCTTTTTTTATCCCTTCCTTAAAAATTATTAATAGTCCCTATAAATATTAAAGTCAAACTTTTTGCGGTGAAATAATGATCTGAAACTTATATATCATATTTTATACAGAACAGATAATTTTACAATACTATCTAATCATTAGAAGTAAATAATTTAATATTAGTCTATTTGTTTAAAGCATTTGTAGTAAAATGTAGTAAATATTCCAATAAATTATGTTATTTTAATTATTATAAATTAAAATATCAAAAGAAACATAAAATTCATTTCCAATGTGCAGTATGTCAATTAATTATAAATTAATATCTTTCTACACATTTCACGTACTTGAACAGTTTTGCCAATTTTAGCTATCATGATTATCAGAGTGATATTATTTCTATTGTGAATGTATATATAACATATTTAGTTTTACTTCAGTTCCCCATATATTATTTTAGTCATCAGCAACTCCCGCTGAATGGAAAAGTCAGAATGGTCCTCAAAAATGGCATCGTCTTCGCTGTCATCTTGCAGTTGATGTGAAATTCCCCCATGAGAAAGCTGAAATTAATAATTTAAGCTTGCAGACACAAATGGAGTTGTCTTTGAAGAACTTTTTTGAAAACATACAAAATGCAGTTTTACTTTTCAATGGACAAAAAAGGAATATGGATGATGCTTTGGCCATCTCTGTAGAAGGAAAAAGGTCTAAAAAGAAACAGTCTGAAAGAACTGAACATTTATCGGAATGGTTTGATGTTGAGTTGTTCATTCCCCTTGTAAGTTCAAAAACAAATTTTTAATTGCAGTTTATACTTAGATGTTTTTGTAATTTTTAATACTGATTTTTTGACAGGTTTATACTAAATGTGTTTGGAATTTATAAATTCAGTTTATTTCATTATTTTGTAAAAATATAATTGACTATTCAATTTAGTTGTTTAAAATTAAATTTATTATTATGTGGAACTTCATGATTAAATAAATTAAACTCTTAATTTTATGAGTTGAATTTTATAATCATGAATTTTAATAAGATATTTATTTTGTTATTTTTTGCTACTTATTTTAAAGTATAGAAATAAAATTTATTAATATTTTACAGAATTGTGCATTTATAATTCCAGTAGTATAGTTCCAGTAGTTAAATCTTATTAATATTTTCAATTTAACTTTTAAAAGTGTTTAAATTTTATTAAGGGTTATCAGTAAAACTTGGTCCAAAAATCAGAGTTGACAAATATTAATTTATATTGTTATAAATTTGTTATATTAATTTATATTGCTTTTCAGTAAATGACATTTCATAAATAACATTACATAAATAACTGTATAGATAAACAGTATTGATTGTTTTATTATCATTAGATGTTTCACATGTTTATGTCTTATTTATGTTGTTTTCTCCTAAAGAAGAGATAATAAATGCCATTTTCACTAAGACACATATCTTAAATTATCCATTAATAAGTTAAAACCTATAAGCAAGTAATAATTGTATACTTTATTTTTTAATGTTGTTTTATAAAGTTTAATGTTGTTCTTTAGAAACACAATCAAAGTTGTTCTCCTGTAACAAAGAAGACCCAGTCATGTGGCTTTTTAATTCAAGGTGCTAGTTAAACCCCTTAAAGATGGACAAAATATAGCAATCATAAATAAATGTTAGAAATTTATAACAGTTATAAAAATAGCATGTGATTTACTAAAAACTGTTATTTTTTTTTGTGACCACAGAACCTTTCATGAACAGCCTTAAATGTCTTAATTTGTAATGTTTATTACTATTTGATGACCATAATAATACAAATCTATAACAAAAATTTCTTTAGTGTAGAGTATGTACTGCTCAGTTTGAAATTAATGCATCGATATTGGTACAGATGATGTATCTAACTTAAAAATACACTTTTTTAGGGAAATGATGTTATTTCAAGCCCAGAAATCTTTACTGCCACCTCTATGATGACATTCAGGGGTATCATGCAGTGTAGAGCTTATATACATGCTAAAGCTACAGTCCAAGAGGCAGTTGATGTAAATGTTTTTTATTTTACGTTTTCTTAAATGAATTTTCCGCTTCAGTTTAGTTATTTTTTATTTTATGTTTTCCTAAATCAATGTTCAGTTTCAATATGGTATAAATACAATTACTTTTAAATATAATTATTTTTAAATAAATTTTTTTTGTTGTTGTTTTCACTTTTGTTTTAATACTTTTTATTAATGCATAGACATTGTCTTGATGTTATTATTATTAGTATGACTTTAAAATACTCTACTATTTGTATTTCTGTAGTAATAAATTTTGCTTTAGTTTTTCAATTTTCAATTCAAATTTTTATTTTTTTATTATCACTGGAGAACAACACACACACACGCATGCACACACACACAGACAGTGTTTGTTTTCTGTTGCATGAGACTTTTTAACTGATCTCTGATATACTTTCATGTTGCTGATTTCAAATCTGCTACTGCTTTCTCTCTTTAATTAGCAACAGTTTTTTCAATGACATTTGTAGTCATTTTTTGTCCAAATGTTTAAGTTTAAAAATTTTATACATAATAGTATGTTATACGTATTGCTGAGAAAAATTTATAGGGGAGTTTGGACACATCATTAGGATTAAAATTGCATAGGAATCCTTGCCCAGAAATGTCATCATATGTCGTTAGGAGCACTTCTCTATTATAAATTGTTTCTTCGTGTGCTTCTGAACAGGTCATGTTAAGGATGTGCCCATATTTCCGAGTATCGGTTTTGTATGCAGTTTTAATCCTGTTGATGTGCTGTAACTCCCTAACTAAGTTTCTCACTACATTTATGCAACCCTCTGTTATATATAACATTAATTCCCATATCTGGATTAGGTATGGTCAAGTATTTGTATAAATGCCAAAAGTTATTTGTTCTTCAGTGCTATTTATTGACCCAAAATGCAAAAATTAAGTTTTGAAGCCTATGCCTGTATTGTTTTTCAATTTTATTAAATCATTAATATATCAGAGCAAGTATTTTTTTATTAGTTTTAAATTTAAATGAATTTTTATCATTAAAGTTATGTTTTAATTTATAGTCGTATGGTTTTATTTTTTCTACTATTTAAACGAACCTGCCAACCTGAAAGTTTTATCGTTACAGAATGCTAAAAGTGGTCAAGAAATAGCAATTAAATAATGTAATAGTTTTTTTTAAAATTTCATCTGCGTTTTTTTAAAAAAACATCTCATGCAATAGTGTTATTTATATAAATTATTAAAATATTTAATTATGGTGGTTGTAAATATTATTTTTATTCAGACATAAAATCATCACAATATTCTTCTGCTTTATTTAAGAAAAATTTCCTGCAAAAGCCTAAAAATTGGTATATCTGGATATGACATTGTAATTTTAAATAAGAGTAAGTTATGCTGACATACTAAACTATACTGGCTGGTCTGACTAAACTATATAGAAGTACTCTTATGCTGACTGTATTAAAAAAAACATTCATCTTTATATACACTTTTTTGCAAGGTTCATGCTTTTTTTTTAATATGTAGTATTCCCAATGGATAAAATTTTTTTTCTGTTGAATTAAATAATTATTAGTAATAATAAAACTGTTTGGGTAGAAAATTGCCCTTAAAAATGCTCTGTAACGAAAACTATTACTAATTTGTTAACTGTCTATCCTGGTTTGAGTTTTGGGTCAAGCCTTGTTACTTTCTGGCAAAGGGAATTAGTTTGTGTTATAAAAAGAAAAAAACTCTGCTCAATCGAAAAATTTCACCAAATTTGCCTAAGTAATGTGACAGTTTAGGAGTTAACAAATGTTTATTATAAGTTCCTTTTCTATTATGATTTGAAATTTTCTTGATAGGCCATAAAGCAAGATATTGCAAGAAGCCTTATTTCTCGATGTGAGATTCATTGTGAAGATTTATTATTAATTGAAGAAGAACAAAGTGGTAAGGTTGTTTTCATTCGTCTATTGTTTGTCATTTAATTTTTAAATATCTCCTTTCTTCTACTTACCTTGTTTCACAATTAGAGCTGATATTTTCTGATTTTGTCTATTAATGTTACATTACCAAAGTTTATTTTAACTCAATAAATTAAACTTTTTTTATGTAGAAATTAATTACTGCATAATATAAGCATACATGAGTTTTATAATAAAAAATAATAAGAACTAAAATTGTTTGTATATTAAATTTTGTACTGTATTAAAGTGTAAAAAAAAAAAAAAAACTATGACATTTTAAGTAATACAGTACCATAGTGCAATGATTTATAAATGAAAAAAGTAAGTAATACTATTAATGGTTATAGCAATTTTTAAAAAGTTGGAATTTAAAATAATTTTAATATTATTTTTAATATTGAAAGTGTATTATAAATGGACAAATTCAATATTGCACTTCATTTTATTAACACTTTGCATGCTGACACAATATTTCATACTTTTAGACAATTAGCAGGCAAAATCAAATTTTTTATGTGGTATTCAACAAAATAATAAATAGATACTGTTGATGTGATATAACTTTGCAAATAAAATATTGACTAATTTTATAGAATTTTTTAATTCGACACCAATATCTAATAATAAGTTTTTTTTTAAGCCTAAAAATCTAATATTAAAAAATAATAAGAACTGTTGATGTGATATAACTTTGCAAATAAAATATTGACTAGTTTTATAGATTTTTTTAATTCGACACCAATATCTAATAATAAGTTTTTTTTTAAACCTAAAAATCTAATATTAAGCTGTTGTCTTATTACGTAACTGAAATTACAAACTGAATTTAATATTTGTTCCGTTTTGCTTATCTTTTGTCTTTTCTGGCATGTTTATGTTACATGTTTATAATCATGTAATATACTTTTTGTTTCATTGCTGTATAACAATTTATTTTAAATGGTTGTATATTAAAAATCAAAATTAAAATTCTTTGCTGATCCTGTTTGTTGCAATCAAATTGCATTTATCTTCAAAAGAACTAGTTTTTAGTGATAGCTAGAAATAAAGTGAAAGCAAGCTCAGACAACGTTTGTTTCTATATGCCATGGTTATTAAGAGTCAATCAATTTTTCTTAATTTTTCTCTCATAGTTTTTTCTGCCTAAACTCAACTGTTTTCTTTTTCCCCCCTCTTTATATCTAATGTAAAACATGATTTATAATTGAGTGAGCTATATATATAATTATAAATTAAGAGTACTGTAATGGAGTCAGATAAGCCATTTAAAAAAAAAAGTTCCAAAAATAAGTCTAGTACAATATTTATTTTAATGTTGTAATTGTTTAGAAAATAAATCTCTTTTTTTATATTAGTTTCGACATTTTTCTAGTACATATATCACTTTTGAGTTTCATTTTTATGTGTTGCATCATTATTAAAAACATTGTTTTCCTCTTTGAGTGTTTTTGTAGTGTCTAGTTGTAAACACATATGGGTATATGCAAAGGTATATATAGCCCATATGGTTGAATGCTTTCTTATCTGAAAATTGCTAAATGTAGCCAAACTTTATTTTTATTCACTTAATAACATAATACTAGCTCATTTAAAAAACAGTGCTAGTGCCTTAAAATTTTGTAAATTTTTTTCATATGCACTTTTAATGTTATAGTAATGTAATGTTTTAATGTCCCTTAACTTTCAAAAAGGTTTGAGAAATTTTGTTGAAAAATTAATGGAGTTTTTAATTAATAATTCAAAAATTAATGGACTGTTTTATGAGCAGGAAAGAACCTAAGTTCTACCTCAATTCTAATATTGAATTGTATGTTGAAGAATTATTAGATATTATACTATCATACACATACTAGTATTATAATAAAATGAAATTATTTGCTTTTCTAACATCCTTACTACAATTCTGCATTTGCTTCTCTCACAGATCCTTTGGTAGTGCATGAACTACCTAGGCGAGTGTTTGCTCCCTTGCCCCAAATGGATGTTTGTGTTTGTGATTACCAGTTTCACAATGATGCTGCGAGCGATTCTCTTGATGCATTTAAAGAATTACTTAATTTAGAACTCACAGAGGAAGACATTGATACATCTTGCGAAGTTTCACCAAGTAAGTAACAAGAAGAGAGGAAAAAATGATGCATTTGTAGCTATTTCAAAATAGCACACTTGATTTGCTTTGCAAACTAAGTGAATAATCACACAAGGATAAATATTGCTAACAAATTGACTTCGGAAATTGTTTTTATATTTTCAGAATAGTTTCTAAATATAGTTGGGTTCCTTAAATAATTTCTCTCTGTGAGACTTGAAAAAAAAATGGCTATCTTTGGATTCTGCTAGATTTTTGTCTAAATTGTTAAATTGTTTGTAAGATTGTTTTCTTTAGATTAACTCTTCAGAACAAACAAACTTATTGTATATTATTATTTTTTAATTTTATTTTCAAATTTTTGTTATTGTTTAATTTTTATAATATTATATTAGGCACTGGTTTCTTAGAAGTGAGGAAATTGGCATTTGTTGACCCAATTGAAATTTTCAACTGAAAATGTTAAAATAAATATTGTTTTATTAGAGTCTATGATACAGTTTTTTTGTTGAAGGTGGGGTATAATAATGTGGTGACTACTGCCTTCACAAGGCATGCTTTCATCTAACATTATTGAAATAGAGAAATTTTTTTTAAAATTAATTAAATTTTTTGAATATCATTGGCACACGATTCTCTAAAGTCCGAGAAATGTCCTTAAAAAATTCCTTGCTTGTTCCACCATTACTTTGTATATTTGAGGGCTTCTATTACCTATTCCATATAGTAAATATGTATTATATATATTTTCTATACTTAAGTAACTGTAATTGATTTGAGAGTCTATATCTCTCTCTATGGTAATGTGGTCAGCATTGAGTACAAACCGCTTTTCTTTTACGTAGCAACTGCTACCCATTCAGCCGTTACTGGTCACTTTTTTTTTACAGAGAATATATAATAAATTTGATGAAATTAAGTCTCTGGAATAGGTTAAGTAAACATTCCCTTGTATAACAAAAATTCTAAATTCCATTTCATTGCAATATCACATTTAGTGGCTATTTAACTACATATATTTTGCTCTTTTGAAATATGAATTCATCATGAAATAAGGTTGAATAATTCTATAAAAGTTATATTAATCTGAAATACATATTTTATTATTTTCAAAAGAATATTATTTTTTCTTTTTGTATTGGTATATTGTGCATGAAATGTTTATGTTTAAAGATATGCTCATAAATAATGTTATATTTAAAACTATCTATAAAAATATCTTGTTAGTCCGCATGACTTTTACACTAAAAATTAAAATTGTTCGAATTTAATTCCAAAAGAGTCTTTATTTGGTTAATTTATTATATTTTTTTTTCTTCACAATCATAAAATCTGTTAAACTAAAATTATTTTCATTTCATAATGAATGCTCGAACGAAACCGGTATGATTCCTCTATGTTAAGTGATATAATATGTAGGTTTTAAAATTGTTATAATACAGAAATAGTTATTATTTTTTTTAAAAGCAGATGCAAAAAACTTCTTTCTGATAATATAATAAATTTAATTTGATTAAATTTATGGTACACTTATTGCTAAATAATTGTACTGATTATTTTTAGTTTCTTCAATTTTGACCACTTTTCTCTGTTAAGTTTCTTTGACAAGTGCAATATTTTGCACTTGTTTTTTCATGGTTTTCTTTGACTATTACTAGTATTAAGGAATAAATGAAGCCAAGCGACTTTCATTTGTCTAAATTTAACCTTTAATCTATTAACAATAAGTTTAATTATAAATTTGAAATTAGTTTCACTTACTAAATTTAGCTTTCTGATTGAAAATCATTGTATTCTATTGTATGTTTATGCTTTTAATACTATAAAAAACTGAAAAATTTATATTTCTTTTCTTATGAAGTATACATTCTCTTACTGTACTTAATTTACTACTGTTATAAAGACTTCTAGGTTCTAACATCACATTAAGCATTAAACGGTGGAGACTTTAACAGTTTACAGTGAAGAATCACATAAAGCATATTTAGTATCATTCCTCAAATTTTTATTTCGTAAATAGTTTAATTATAGTTGATCTATGTTACATTTCTCAATTAATATAGTTGCTTATACTGAATAGACGTTTTGTTTTGCAAAAAGTCATCTATAATTTTTACATAAAAATTAGTTTAAGATGCCTAATATGTCAATTATCAACTATTCCTCTATTTCCAAATATATCACTGAAACTAATTTTATATTATTTTATAACATTTTGAGTTTTTAAAATTTATGCTTTAGAAAAATTGCTAGTAAAGACCAAAATGTTTTGTTAATTCTTTTGATTCTGTTTTAATAATTTTGTGAAAATTTAAATGAATTTATTTTAGGAATAAATCAATTGATAGACACTTTTTTTACACACCTAAGAATAAAATTATTGTTAGAGCTATCAAAATTATATTTTGATAATTCATATTTTAAAGGAATATTTTTTCACTAACTAATGTTTCAGATGAAAATTTTCTCAAATATTGCTAATATTTATCTAAAAATAATTTGAATAATCATTATATTAAACTTGGCCAAAAGATTTTTTCCATTAGCAAATCAAAGTATATAAATTGTTTATTACTTAAAAATCTATCCAATTACAGNTTCACAAGACATGCTTTCATTTAACATTATTGAAATAGAGAAAATTTTTTTTTAGTTAATTAAATTTTTTGAATATCATTGGCACACGATTCTCTAAAGTCCGAGAAATGTCCTTAAAAAATTCCTTGCTTGTTCCACCATTACTTTGTATATTTGAGGGCTTCTATTACCTATTCCATATAGTAAATATGTATTATATATATTTTCTATACTTAAGTAACTGTAATTGATTTGAGAGTCTATATCTCTCTCTATGGTAATGTGGTCAGCATTGAGTACAAACCGCTTTTCTTTTACGTAGCAACTGCTACCCATTCAGCCGTTACTAGTCACTTTTTTTTTACAGAGAATATATAATAAATTTGATGAAATTAAGTCTCTGGAATAGGTTAAGTAAACATTCCCTTGTATAACAAAAATTCTAAATTCCATTTCATTGCAATATCACTCTAGTGGCTATTTAACTACATATATTTTGCTCTTTTGAAATATGAATTCATCAAGAAATAAGGTTGAATAATTCTATAAAAGTTATATTAATCTGAAATACATATTTTATTATTTTCAAAAGAATATTATGATTTTTTCTTTTTGTATTGGTATATTGTGCATGAAATGTTTATGTTTAAAGATATGTTCATAAATAATGTTATATTTAAAACTATCTATAAAAATTTTCCATCTTGTTAGTCCACATGACTTTTACACTAAAAATTAAAATTGTTTGAATTTAATTTGAAAGGAGTTTTTATTTGTTAATTTATTATTTTTTCCCTCAAAATCATAAAATCTGTTTAACTAAAAGTGAATTCATTTCAAAAGTACTTTTAATATAAGGTTTTATATTATGTTCAAAAGATTTTACATCATATTTCTCACATAAATTTTATTGCAGAAACTAAAATTGAAGTAAATCACCTAAAATTTCTTCAAGAATTTTTTATGGATTCATTTATTTTGTGCTTATTGTACTTAAATGTATTGTATTGTATTTCTTAATGCTAGATTAAATGCTTACTACATAAATGCTGAATCTTAAAATCAAGTGTGTAACAGATTTGGCTATCATTGAAAGGAATAAAAACTTGCCATATACACTCAATTGTTACTGTATTTACATTAAGAAATTTACTTAATAGCTTAAGAAAATGTGCTTGTATTGTCTGGGTGCGCAGGACAAAGACTTGTAAAGATAGTTAACTAGGTTTTAATCAAGTTATATTAACTAGGTCTTTTTGTTTATTATAAAAGGTTAATTTGACATTGTTTCAAGAGTTTTAATGTTACACACATAAATCAATTACAAAATTTTTTGACAGTATTATTTTTATTAGATTAGCTACTTTTTTGTATTTTATCACTTTTTCAGAGAAGCATTTATGACGCCATAGATTTGAATATAGCTATATGTTTTTATATAAATGTGACAGTATTTATTTTTTTAAAGTTTTTTCAAGTAATTATTGAGAAAATAAAACACAGGAAAATAAAATTAATATAATTTAATTTACACATATATTATCCCCTTTATGCTTAAAACTGATGTAGCATATTTTACTTTTATTTACTTATATTTATTTTTAGTATATTACTCTTTTTATTTAAAAGAAAATAATGTATTTAAAATTCTTTGTATTTTGCATAATGTGTGGTGCCTTTTATAGCCGAAATATAAGTGTGCAAATTTCCAAAAATTTAGTAAATTTCATTTGAATACTTTCTGAGAAATTCCATCTTAAATACCTGTCAGTTTTAAACTCCTTGGTTGGTGGAATCAGTTGCTTAATGAGAACAAAGAATTCAATCATTTATATGTGATAACATTTAAATTTGTTCAGTTATTAGACTCACTACCTCCATAAATATGAATCAAAACTTATTGATTGCACAGAAATTTATTAAAAGTGGGATGGCGCCCAGGATGGAAGTTTCTTCCTCAGTGGGAAAAACTATCTGTTAAAACTATGGTAAAAGCAACCTTGGAAGGAATAGGTTTCTTCCAGCCTATATAGGAGAATTCTTTTCATAAACAGTTTCTTTTTGCATTTTAATTTATATAATAGTATTTCTCAGCTATTTAATGTATAATTTTTAAATAAGTGAAAACGGTAAATAAAAATATATTTAATGATTTACTTATGAAATTGCGCTGTTACAAATTTCATATCAAATTTACAATTACAAATTACATGCTGATTCTAATAATTAAATGTTGCCAAATATGAATGCTCAAACCAAGCCGATATGATTCCTCTATGTTAAGTGATATGATATGTAGGTTTTTAAATTGTTATAATACAAAAATAGTTATTTTTTTTAAAAAAGAGGAGATAAAAAACTTCTTTCCGGTAATATATTAAATTCAATTTGTTTAAATTTAAGATACACTTATTGCGAAATATACTGATTATTGTAATTATACTGATTATTTTAAGTTTCTTCCATTTGGTCAACTTTTTTCTGTTTTTTTCCCAAGATTTTTTGAGTGTCCTGTAAGAAATAGGTTTTTTCTGGACAAAATGCCAACTCTTGATAGAGCATTATAGAGTTATAGGATTAGAAGTGCTTAGAGGCAATGTTTTGCACTCGATTTTTTAGGAGGTTTTCTTTGACTATTACTAGTAGTATTAAGGGATGAATGAAGCAAAACGTCTTCATTTGTCGAAATTTTATCTACTATTTAATCTATTAATAATAAATGTAACTATAAATTTGAAATTAATTAATTTCACTTACTTAAATTGGCTTTCTGATTGAAAATTATTGTATCCTATTGCATGTTCATGCTCATAATGCTGCAAGGAACTAAAAAATTACTGTCTTATTTCTTATGAAGTATGCATTCTCTTATTGTACTTAAATTGCTATTGTAATAAGAACTTCTAGCTTCTAACATCATATTAAACATTAAATGATGGAGACTTATATAGTTTAATGTGAACTATCACATGAAGCATATTGAACATAATTCCTCAAATTTTTATTTCGTAAAAAATGTCATTATTGTTCATCCGTGTTACATATCACTATTGATATAGTTGATTATACTGAATAGACAAATCTTTTCCAACAATACATTTATAATTTGTAAATAAAAATTCTTTTCAGGTGCCTAATATATCAATTATCAAATGTTCCACTATTTCCAAGTATATCAGTGAAACTAATTTTATGTTATCTTATAATATTTTAATTCTTTAAAATGTATGCTTTAGAAAAATTGCCAGTAAAACCCAAAATGTTTTGTTAATTCTGTGGATTCTGTTTTAATAATTTTATGAAAATTTAAATAAATTTATTTTAGAAAACAATCAATGGGATCTTTTTTTGCAAGGCTAAAAATAAAATTATTGTTAGAGCTATCAAAATGATATTTTCATAATTCATTTTTTAAAGGAATGTTTTTTTACTGACTAATATTTCAGTTGCAAATTTTCTCATATATTGACAATGTTTATCTAAAAATAATTTGAATAATCATTATATTAAACTTGGTCAAAAGATTTTTTCTGTTAGCAAATCAAAATATATAAATTGTTTATTACTTAAAAATGTATCCAATTACAGGTCTGTTCCCACTGTACAATTATTTTTAATCTATTAGATATTATGTATGAAATGTAATGTATGAAACTATTAGATATTAGGCAAGTTTATTTTTTACTAATTTAATATCCCTATTTTTTTATAAGTTTTCATGTTTTGTTATAATATTTTTAGCTACCAGAGCTTTGATTTTGCCTGATGCAGCTGAAGATAAATTATCAGAGTTTGGAGATGCACCTGTTCAAAGCTCATCTATGAGGCTTGGTAAGTTCTGTAAAAATTTTTGTAATAATGATTCCTTTTTCCTAACTGATTCTTGTTAACTGATTTAACAATTCTGTATTGTCTATCTATTGTTTAATTTTTCAACCTTTGGCTAAACTCTTAATTTGTGAATCTTTTTTTTCTACTTCAGAGCTTTATTTTACTATAATAAACCACCAAAAATGTTTAACTGAACATTAATATTTTTTAACTTATCATGATTGTAATAAAACTGTATTATGTAATATAATTAAAAATACCCTTATAACATAATTTTCTATTTAAGAACCGTATTTGTAGTCTAATAAATTCATTTTTTTTTTTACTTTTTTGCAAATAAGTATAAAATACATGCTTTATTAAGTTTACTGAATAAATGATACATTTTATATTTATTTGTATTTATGTATCATCTTTTTTATTTCTGCATTTTTATTTGTATCTATTTGCCATATTTTGTAAGCTTTTTTCAATGTCTTCAAGATTATTCCTTTTAATTAAAATGCTATGTTTAATAAATTTTTTGTTTTACTCATTAGTTTTTAAAAGTTGAAAATTTCTATGTAAACTTACCTCAGATTAATTTGTCATACTGAATATTCCATATCATTTAAAAAAATTTCCTGTATCATATGAACAATTAAAGTAATTTTAATTAGATTACAAACAAAGTTAAAAAATGTAGACCGATACATTTTCTTAATAGGGCTTTGGCATTGATACACAAATTTTAATTTGTTAAAAAGAAAGAGTGCTTACATATTTTAACATTAGTTGTTTTTGTATGTATGTTAACATTTAAATTTAATATTTTTCTTTTTTTTCTGTAGCTCCAATTATTGGTGTCGTTTCAACAATAGCTGTAGGTCTTACTGCATATGTTATCAAGACTCAATGGAGCTAAGAAACATTAGTTACAGAATATTATAATCCGTGTTCAATACATTGTAAAAGTTAATATATTGTGTGTTGATATATTTGCAGCCTAAATTATTCTTATAATAAATTATTTATTTTTTATAATTTGTAAGTACACTATTATTTTAATTATGTAAATACACTATTTGTTAAATGATTGAGTGCAGTATTTTTTCTTCATCTTTCTTCTTTGAAAATTGTTTCTTCATCTCATCTTTCTTCGAAAATTTTACACAACCTAATCTTAATTAATCATTTCATTGCTTTTATTTTTTAAGTACTATGTTTTATATGTTAGCCTTACAATGAAAGGCTAACAATTATGTAATTTGCCTTTGATTTTTGTTTGTTTATAAAATATTTGTCTTAAAAATAAGTTTTGATTTAGGTGGGTAAAAAAAGGCTCAATATGTGATAGTAAAATTGTTATTTTTTTTAGTTTTTTAAAATTTATTTAGAACATTTCACTATGAAACTTATATATTTTTTAATGAAATGTTTTCAACTCATATCCGTTTTTACTTTATATTTTGCTTCGTATCTGTCAGTATCTCTGAAAATTGCTGTGAAAAATTAGTGAAAAATTGACTCAGTATATGATGTTAAAATGCTTACTTTAAAAAAAAGAAAAGAAAAGAAATAAGAAAAAAATCAATACAGAACTTTTTTGCATAATTTTCCACTCGAATCGATCTGGTGACTTACATTTTACTTCAGTTTCAAAAATAGAAGCAAATGTATGAAAATAGGAGCTCATTATGTGATGATAAAATAGACACTTTAACAATTTATTAAAACAAAATTTCCATATGAAATTTTTTAATATAAGCATTTTCCACTCCTGTTCATCTTTAAAAAATTACTTTAAATTTTGATCTGATCTGTTAGTTTCTCCTGGTCTCAAAAATGAGCATTGACGTCAGTTTGAAAGGAGTTACCTTTATATATTTATTAAATAAATTTGCATCATGGAACTTATGTTTTTTTGGCACATATATTTTCTGCTCTTGTTCATCATTGAAATGGCATGTTACATTTTCTTTATCATTAGTACGTTTCTCTGAATAAGGAATCAAAAATAGCCATTGATTTTAGTAAAAATTGGCTTGACTCATTGTCCGCCTTTATGTAAATTGTCAATAATTTTTGAAACTTTTTAAGAACAATTGAGTTAAATAATATGCAACTTAACCTTTCAACTGAAGACTGAAAAACCTCTTAATTTTCCCTCCCTTTAGACATTGAAATCATCTTCCTGACAAACATAAAGTAGAAAAAAAAAAAATTGAAATATAAAAGAACTTAATAATTTTTTTTTCGAATCCTCATTTCCTGTGATATACGACCTGTAAGCATACTTAATGCTGGATAATTTTTAATTTAATACGCTACTAGCTATTTTTTTTATTTTTATAAAAATTTACATCCAGTTTGTTTTTAACCACTTTCTATGAAATGGTTTAATGGTTCTATGAAAAAGTAGTTTATAGAACTATGAAAAAGTAGTGGGTCTTTGATATAGGTAGCATATTTTCGATGCATGGTATACTTCCTTGATCCAATGTACCTCTGAGCTATGCAAAAATATTTTGAATGTAAGTTTCTCTTAAAATGGGAATCAAAATTAAATTTTGAAGTATGGGAAAATAGGACTTAATATTTAATGATAAAATGAACAATTTGGCAATCTATGAAATAATGTTGCTTTGCGGAATTTTTTTTTGTTTGTTTTGGCATGAATGTTTTATACTCTTGTTGATCCTTGAAATATTTCTTTACATTTTTCTTCTGATTTGTCTGGTCGGGTCATAACTAAGGGTTGATATCAAAGAAAAAGGTACTTAAAATGGTAACGATGAAATGGACACAAAATTTTTTTACTATGAAACTTCTTATTTTTGTCTTAAACATTTTTTTAAATATTATGTTAAATAATTTAATAATATTACTTTTATTATTTAAAACATTACTTTATATGGATTTCTGGTTTTTAAAGTTACTCCGAAATATGACTCTATATCAAAGCCTACAAGGGTTCAATATAGAAATTAATATTGGTCCTATATTCAAAACCATTCGAGGACCAATATTAAAAAATTTAGACACTCCAATAGTGACCACATATTGTAAACGTCCTACATAAAAATAAATATTTGGCTAGAATATAAAGCCATTCTAGGACTTATTATTACATAACTTATACACCTCAATCTCGGTCCGATATCGAAAGCCATTCTAAGACCATTGTCTAAAAATATATAAGACCATTATGGACTTTCAGTTAAGGACCAGTTTTGTATTTACATCTATTGAACCTGGAAAGACTGAAAATATTTTAATAATATCCATTTCTATATCTAGTTCCTTAATAAGTGATTTACAATACAAACAAATCTATCTGTAATAGATTTTTCTTTTTTGCTAATAAGACGTTTTTAGTGGTCATAACTATGGGAGGTTTTCCTCTCCATTCAATGCAAATGCGGGTTAGTTCCATCAAAAAGATCTCCACGAAGCCTAATTTCTCCCAATACTTGATACAGGAGTTCCCTTGTCTTCTGGATTAGGTTCAAAATTACAAGTTTACGGAGTTGAACATTGGTAGTCTTAAACACAGAATTGCGTTGGGTGTTCAGCGGCTGTATAAAATAAAATATTTACCTTGTTCAAAATGACAAGTTCTGATAGTAGAAATTCTAGTTGCCAAGAGCATTTTATGTTTTTAATTTTATTGTAAAAGTATCACTAAAGTTATATTGATGGATATCCGCCCATGAGATTTGAAAACAACTAATTATGATTTTAGAGAAAAGCATTTATTACTTTACCTTTTAGATTTTATTTAACAGCTATAAAATACCGGGTTAATCGGCCAATTTTAAATAGGGTTTACATTGGATGAATAACGTCTTTAAAATATCGGGTCAATCGAACAATTTTAAGTAGGGTTTATATTGGCTAAATAACGGCTATAAAACATCGGTTCCGTGGGACACTTCTTTATCAAACTGACATAAGCTAAATAACGGCTATAAAATATCGGCTGAATTTCAGAAATCGGTATAGTGCCGATATTACAGAAATACGGGCAATAAAATATCGGATTAATTGTACAATTCTATACAAGTGAACTTTGACTGAATAGTGGCTATAAAATATCGGGTGAATTGAAAAATTCTATATATGGCCTATATTGGTTGAATAACGACTAAAAAATATCAGGTCAATTGGATAATTGCAAATAGGGTCTATATTGGCTGAGTCTGACACTTCTATATCGAACAGATATAGGCTGAATAACGGCTTTAAAATATCGAGTGAACTTTACAAATCTGTATAGGGCCAGTATTGGATAAATAAGGGAAATAAAATATCCGGTGAAATTGACAATTTTATATAGGATTAACATCTGCTGAATAGTGGCTATAAAATATCGGGTGAATCGAAAATGTCTATATTAGTCCACTATTGGCAAAATAATGGCCCTATAAAACCTTGTTGAACCAAGGTTGGTGAATATTGACCCAATGTGTTCCCAAGTTATTTTGCTGCTAGGGATGTGATGATAAATTGTAAACTTAATAAAAAAACTTTTTTTAAAATCGCACCCCTCACGTTCCTTTTGATTCATAATTTTCTCTGAAAATGTGAAACAAAAATAAGCGTTGGTGTTTCTTGCGCACAACGGAACTTTAGTTTTTGACAAAAAATCTTTTAAACTGCTTCTGTCCATCTTTAAAACATAACCTTGCATTTTTCTTCTCATCTGTTCATTTCTCTGGTCCCGCAGTGGACTGATCGTTAAGACACGGTTTACCAGCAGATCACCGAAGTCAAGCATCACTGTCTGCAGTCAGTGTGCGGGTGGGTGATCACTTGGATCAGTCTGAGTAGGGACCAAGGATGTGCGGTATTGGTTCTCGTTAAACTGTTCTACCGTAACGTGCTCAACTTCTCGTGTAGGTCGTTGGGCTACCGAAGCGGGAGTGCCACCCCCTCTGCAGAGGATCAAAATTGTGATGGCATGTTTTCGGATCATCCGCAGGGATGTTTCCCAGACCGTCGCCAATAGCCCATTGTGCAGCTCTAGTGCGACGTAAATGAACTACAACAACCATTTCTCTGAATATAAAGGTCAAAATTGAGTGTTGACGTAATGAAAACGTGGCTTAGTATGGGGGGGGGGGGGTTATAAAATGGTCAATTAAAAAATTATTAGAAAACTTCACAGTGAAACTTACACTGTTTTTTTTTAAAGCAAATATTTTCTACTCATGATCATTTTTGAAGTAGTATCTTATGCTTTACTACTGATTTATTACTTTCTCGGAAATTGGAGATCTAAGTGTGACGTTGGTCAAGAAGTGAAGTAATATATGTTTATAAAATGCGCTGTTAATTTTTTTTTAATCCTTTGTACCGCGACACTTTTTACAGTTCTCAAGTTTTTTTTACATGAATGTTTTCTTTTTATGTCTATCTTTCATCCTTTTGTTAAGGCAGTCCTCTGCGCAGAAGTAATGCCACTGCGCTTCAAAATGTACACATTGCTTGTCGATAAGTTCTTACGTTTGGGTTTTCTTTTTTAAATGTTACATAACAATATATTTGGAGATTTTAAAAGAAAATGCAATCGACTTACAAAACATATTAGGCACTTTCGAAATAAGTGGTTTTAACCCTTTGCACTCTGAGTGCTTTAAAATGGTGTTCGAGCTATCGTGAGCACTGAATCATTTATACGTAATACAGTACTTTTATATAATTTTTTACATTCTTAAATTAATGTGGTTACTAATTATTAAGTTTTAATATTGTTTAATTTTAGAGTGGTGACTGTTTATGGTGTCTCAGAAGGAATAGAAAAGGGTTAAACAATGTATGTCAATGAAATATTGGCCAGTGGTTATAAAAGCATCGACACGTGATCGTTGTAACAAAAAACAGAAAACTTACTTAATCGTAACTTAGAATATAGTCAGAAAAAAACATTACGGTGCTTTTCTCATGTTTGCCTACAGAAAGGTTTTTGTTATCAAACTGTTGTTGTTGTAGTTCCAGAAAGTTAAGAATTACAAACATGTATCAGATGTGGTCTTGTTGGA